TATAATTTTTTAGTATATTACTTGTGTGGTGTAGAAGAGAATTATCTATGTAGAGATACTGCTTGCAAACCAATGATGGTAAGATGATGTTTGGGGGTAGGACTAGATAAGTCTGACTTCTTCCTACTCCATTCAAGCATGTACTAGGTATAAGCAAATTGATATTGGATTAGCATTTGTTGGATATGTGTAAAATTATGTGTGTTGACATAAATAATAATAATATTAAATAAATCAAATAAAAAAAAATCAAATCAAATGCTAGTCTGGAGCCCTGACTTAGGCAAGGAGTATTCATCTGATCAGTGTCACATGATGCAGGAAGTGTGTCAGCATTTTAGTTCTATTTCTTTCACTACAGGGAGGAGTACATACACTTTGCCAGCTAGTAAAGAATGAATTTTGAAAGTAAGTCGTGAACCAGGGGATGCCCTGTACCTCTCCGTTTGTGTCTGGTAGTGAATTTATCACTTTATGCCCTACAAAGCAAACATAGCTTTGTGGGGGTGATGACCATTTGGAATAAAATGTTCTCCTCTGTGCAGATGGTAAGGAAGTGAAGCATGACTCTGTTAATAATACAAGACCATCTATTATAAATTATCTAATCAGTATGTTTGATTTCTTTCAGGTTACCTGTCCTGCTGTCGCTTCCTGGATGACAACCAGATTGTCACCAGCTCTGGTGACACCACCTGGTGAGTTATGATACTGCACCCAATGCCATCCATTCCACCACAAATTAGGACCATAAAAATGACAGAACAGTTTCCTCAAAGTCTAAAATTTCATTCCTTGTTCAGTGATTTTAATTCATTCTAAAGCATGTACGTAAATACTTTTTCATACCCTCCCCAGAAATACTTGCAGTAGTTGCCTATTATTTTTCAGCGAGTTTGCCGGTCTCCTTGTAATGTGAATACAGCCACAACAAGGTTCTTGTATTTTAAAGTGACTGTAGAAAGAGCTGCTTGTCCTTGTACTTTAAGTCAAAAATATTTTTGCTAATCTGATGGAATCATGGTAATGCCAACATACTGTATAAGCTTAACTGGAACAACTGTGAGAAAGGAAAATCATGAGATTGAAATGAAGACTTCATAAATCCTCCACGTCAAATTGGCATCATTTAAAGTATGCTGAATTAGCTGTTAGTAACTCCTATTGGCAGTACACCTGTGGTTGTACAGACACTTGTCACAGGATTACTTTGACACTCAAGAAAACTTATTCTCAAGCAGGTTCTGAGGTGTCTTTTTTTGTGATTTCTAGGCAAATAATGATATCCTCAGGACGTGTAATTGACACTGAATGAGATCAATGTGTGTTTCATATGTCTGTATTACAATGTGGCTGAACGTCTAATACAGACAACATCCTGTAGTTTCACAGTGTTTAAAATCTCATCAAGAATGGCATTAAATAACCAGAGACCATATGGAATATTTGACCTCCCATCTCCTCCTGTATAGTTAAATTTGTCTGAATTGGGCTTCAGTTGCAGCCCCATTATATTCTAAGATGGTTCTATTATTTATTTTGTCTCCTGTAGGTTTTTATGGTTGTCAGTATGGAAACATGCTAGCTGTATCAAATTAGTATTGGAATTCCCAGCCCATGCTGTCACCTAGTAAGCTGCACTTTAAATACAGATTATATTGACTTCTTACAGCCACCAGCATCGTGTTATCAGTTGCCAATCACTCTCCTTGAATGGCACTTTGGAATTCCAAAGCACTCTGCATATAGTTTTGTATATTAATAGTGTTTGTTCTGCTTTCTTTCAGTGCTCTGTGGGACATTGAGACTGGTCAGCAAACGACTACATTTGCTGGCCACACCGGTGACGTCATGAGTCTCTCTCTGGCGCCTGACACCAGGCTGTTTGTGTCCGGAGCCTGTGATGCCTCAGCCAAGCTCTGGGACATCAGAGAAGGAATGTGCCGACAGACCTTCACTGGCCACGAGTCAGACATCAATGCCATCTGCGTAAGGGCTGCATGCACACACGCCTACATGTTATATACTGATCATATCAGGGTGTCAGGTCTCCAGACATTCAAGGCATGTCCAAGTCAAGTCAGCCAGAATAACTCTCAGGTCCTGAGGGGCAAATTCAAATGAAGTCACAAGCCTCATATACAAATCCACAGTCAAGATGCAAACTGTTCAAATCTGTGGATGGTGACCATTAAATTATGCTCAATTTATGCTGTATTTAATATGGATGAGAAACGGTTCCATTCGGTGTGTTGGGACAGAACTGTTTAATAAAGTAACTTCCTGCTG